TTAGGCAGTCCTGCAGATCAGGAACGGCAAACATTTGAGACAAGAGCCCATCCTGCCCCTCACACCAATTTAAAAATAACTTGAGAGCCATAACTATGTTTTGGAGAATGAAATCACACATGATCTGAGCAATATCCTTTAAAATTGTGCACTTTTACTTCAGAGCCACGCGTGCATACCGAGAACTGCATATGGCTCGCGAACCGCAGTTTGCCAACCCCTGGTCTGGATGGAGTTTTAAAGGACTCGGTAGCTCACGTGTAGAGTTAACGTGTGCTGTGTGCAGTATTTAGTATCAGCTGCTTCTTAGGAACAAGGACCCAGTGACTAAGACATAGTGTAGAGCCATGTCAGGGATGGTCTTTGAAGCTGAAATGGCCCTTGAATGGGCTTCATGCCACATCTCCATCCTGCTGTGACTGGAGACCTCAGTGGTTCTTGATTGTTTACTTTGGGGGGGGGGGCGCTAGTATAACCCCCATGTTAATGTTACCTTGCTTCACCGCTCTTCAATACACAACAGTCTTGTTTTGTCTCCTGCCCAAGGCCCTCCCACACAAGCCATTTCTGTAAATATTTCCTATACATGCCTGTGAAAGATAGACTTAAACCATTCTGTAAATATTTCCTATACATGCCTGTGAAAGATAGACTACAATACCATTATTGTACCTCAAATTATGAATAATTCCTTAATAGCACCAAATGCTTGGTGTTAAATGTCTTTTGATTATTATCCCATAAATTGTTTTTATAATAGATTTGTTCAAATTATTAATCAAAAAAGGTCCACATATTCACCTACTGAGGTGCTTCTTTTTTTTACAACTTTATATTTCAAAATAATATCAAACATTTAGAAAATCACAATGCAAGAATCCTCATAGATCCTGAATATATCAGCTTTATATTATCCCAGTTCATACCCACCAGGCGCTCTGAATAAGATGAGGCTGTTGGCGCCCGTAAAGACAGACAGTCTTGGAAACCGGACATGGGCTTGCTCTGAGTCAGAATTGACTCTTAAGTCGGTGGGTTTGGGGTTATTCCGATTTTGTCAGATGCCTCAGTCATGTCCAGCAGGACTGCAGTCCAGGCTCACACCCTGCGTCGATTGTCAAGCTCTCTGGACTCTCAGTCTGATTTTGTCTTTCACAACCCTTGCTTGAGCCCTTTGTGGCAGCCACGGTGTCAGTTCATCTTGTTGACGGCCTTCCTCTTTCCCTGACTCTGTAAGCATGAAGTCCTTCTCCAGACGCTGGTCCCTCGTGACAGCATGTCCAAGGTGCCTGAGATGACGTCTCGCCATCTTCCCTTCTAAGTGGACTAAAACAGCGGTGGTTAGGAGGAAGGGGCAGGCCAGGCCGTGTTTGGTTCATACAGAGTGTCCATAGGAGTCAGGACAAACGTTTTTTACAGGCCTGTTATTTTTTAGATTATCCCTCAGTTCAAGTTCCCTGAAGTGTCTTTATAATCGATTAAGGTTATGCATTTTTTGAATGAGAAGGCTGTTGTGTCTTTCTCAGGGCATCATATTGGAAGGGTATGTTAGAGCTCTCTGAGGAGAGACATACCTCTGTCCTTGGCTCTGCGAGAGAATCCGAAGCCTGGTTTGTGATTCAAGTGAGTTTATAAGGAATAGAAGCAGTTTCAGGTTCTATAGGTTCTAAATGGAACACAAGCCAGACTCTGTGGCACAGTTGCGGCACTGTGTCCTGGCTGCTCCTGACCGCAGCCCCGCTCTGCTACGTTGTGTAGTAGCCGCTGGGAAAGAAAAACCGCTGGCATTTCCGGGGCCCTGTTGGGAGGCGTGGTCGACAATACTGGTCAACCCTACTGGCTGAATCAAATTCACCTGGCTTAGATGGTCCAGGTGTAACGCCCACCTAGGTGTACCACCCCTTCAAAGCCAGAAGCTCAAACCTCTGAGCATGCGCAATGGACGCCCCAGCCCCTATGCTAACTACCTAACAGATATGGTGCCATCTCACCCCATTATTGGTGACATTGTCATTGATCATGATGGAGGTGGTGCCTGCAGGTTTTCCTATAGTTATTTTCCCTTTGTAATAAATAAGTATCTTAAATGTATGAGTGGGTAAACTGGAATTGCACTGGGCGAAGCAGAGCTTTCATAGTACATATTTTTCCCGCTAGTCGAGCATCAAGCAACTCTGAGTTAGTGCACCCAGTGGCCTTGCCTGGGAAGGTTCTCTTTGGTCACAATGAATTTTTTTGTAAAAGCAGTTTCACTCCAATGGCTGATTTAAGAGAACAGTGTGCAGCTATGAAATTTTGTTTCCTGTTTGGGAAAGATGCAGCAGAGACTGTTGAACACCGCACTATGGGCAAAACTGAAGTGTATGAGTAATTTTCTCATTCCCAAAAAGGTGAAATGTCGATTGATGACAAACTTTATTCTGGACATTTGTCAACTTCTCGAAGGGACTCAGATGTTGACTTGTAGTTCATTCCACCAGGTCAGACTGTTAATCAAGCTTTCTATTTAGAGGTTATGAAAGGATTATGAAAGGTTATGGAAAGATTGCATAACTGTGCGAAACAGTGTGCGACCAAAAAAGCCTGATTTGTGGCAGATGGGCCTGGTTTTGCCACCACAACAATGTACCTGCACACGTAGCTAGCTCAGTGCTCCAGTTTTTGCCAGAAAACAGCATGCACCTTACTCACCTGACCTCACTCCATGTGACTTCTTTTTGTTTCCTCGAATGAAGAGGAACGTAAAAGGACAGTGATTTGAAGAGGTAGAAGAGGGAAGAAAAAAACAAGGGAGGTGCTGTCAGCCATCCAAACAGATGAGTTTGAAAAATGTTTCCAAAAATGGAATCGCATATTTGACAAATGCATTAAGTGTAATGGAGAGTACTTTGATGGTGATAAGGTTTTGTAAAAATTAAATTAAATACATAGCTTGGGTGGGGGGTAGTTGCTTTTTGGCGGGGTTTTTTTGTACCCCCATGTATGTCAATATCCTCTTTCCTATGAAACTTTCACCTACTGGGTTTGCATTCATTGATGATATTCATTGATCTGCTAAGGAGGAGCTTTCTCTTCTGTATCATATCTGTAGATCCACCAGTATGGACTCGTGAATTCTTAATTTATTCAGCGGGCTATAATTCAGTCTGGTGTTTTTTCCCTTCTAAATCCTGTTTATTGTTGTTGAGAATATATACCGTAAAACATCGGAGGATAAGCAAAAATGTGCAACGATGGCTTCTCATGCCCTCCGCCTGGGTCTGTGTGGACCTGAGGGGCTGTGCCTTCCCTAAAGAAGTCTGTGCTCTTCAGCCCCCATGCCAAGGACACCGGCCCGTCTTCTTTGGGTTTGGGGGAAAAGGGTGTGAAGGGGCAGGGAAGGGCTGTAGGGTGGATGGGGTAAGGGTCGCTCACACTCTTGTTACCTTCCAAGCCTGTGCTGGCGCGTCGTCAGGAAGGAGCAAAGGCTCCGCACAGCTTCGCCGCCCTCTTCCTCATCAGGGCAGTTTCACTCCGCCTAGCTGCTGCTTAAGAAGGCCCCGTGGTCCTCTGAGAAAACCTATCGAGACAAATACAAAAACAGTCACCATAACCTTTTGAGCTGACCTGCCTTGAATTTAACTGGCCCCTCCGAGAGCCTCTCAGAAACCGCTGTTTTGCTTGAACTTTTTTTCGTAGCCCCTAACAAGACTACCTTAAGTGACTTACTGAGCGAACTTGTCTGCGGCCATCCACTGACGGGCGGATGGACGGACAGCAGAGACATTTAGGCCAGTTTGATTTGGAGGACGCCTGGGCGTGTGGGCATTGGGCCCTGCAACACTACTGCTTGAGTTCCCTGTGAGCACCTGGGCAGTCTCCGTGTGTAGCCTGCGCACTGGGTCTGTCGTGCAGCTGTGCGGCCGCCCTCCCTCTCTGTTCACATCCACTCAGCGTCCCTACTCATCTCAAGTTGATCTTACTGAGGCCACCGTAAAAGAGCACAATGCGAAGCAGCCCTTGTTGTCTACTTAGGCCCAACGCTTGTGTGGCTTTAGATGATCTCAGGCCGGTTCTGGTGGAAAGATTAAGGGTTTTCCCAGTGCTCTTGTTTCAGGGGCATCCGCCCTCCCTGGCTCCAGAAAACTATCGAGTCCACGAGGATTTGGTTCTAGTCTGCACTTTCCTCCCTTTTGATCAGGATTCGTCTGTGGAATCTTTGATAGAAATGCTCACTGGCGGTAGCAGGGCCACTGCCCTGTCGGTTGGTCTCATGGCGCAGGAGGCAGTGAGTGGCTCCTGGAGGCAGGAAGTCACACATTCGTCCAGCTCCTCCTCCTCTTCCTGACTCCCCTCCTCCCTCTCTCGCTCCATTGGTGCCTCGGATGGCCACTTGCAACTTCCAAAACCGCAGGCACTAGGACGTAGAACAGAAGCATTACACATGTTACTAGGTCAATTAACTGGTACGTCCCATGAAACCATGACTCTAAAGCAGGGGTTCTCAACCTATGGGTCGTGACCCCTTTGGGGGTTGAACGACCTTTTCACAGCAGTCGCCTGATTCCTAACAGTAGCAAAATTACAGTGATGAAGTAGCAACAAATATAATTTTATGGTTGGGGGGTCACCACAACACGAGGAATTGTATGAAAGGGTCGTGGCATTAGGAAGGTTGAGAACCACTGCTTTAAAGCCTCCCAATCAAGGGACCAGATCCCATGAGGGGTTCAGTCATAGATAAGCACTGCCATGTAAGTCTCTTTAAATATGTGGATTCCAACTCCCCCTCCTTTTTCTCCTGTGATTTTTGTGTTAAAAAATCAGGTTGTCTGTCCTGGTTTCTACACTCTCAGTTTTGCCGATATCTTAGATCCATCCCCATAGCGACTTTATCAATAAATTGGTAGTTGCATCTAGAGGCATAATCAGGTTAAATTTTTTTTTTTCTCCCCACTCTCTGTGGGCCAGGAGTCTTTCCTAGCTGGTGGTGTGACATACCCTTTTCTCACCCTTCACAGAGGCTGGAGAGGTGTATGAGCACTGTGACATCGATGACTACAGGTGTCTCGGAGAGAGAAGCCAACGACGCCCTCAATGCCTACGTGAGTATACTGCTCTCCCCACCTCTTGTTCCGCCTCCCCTGGGAGAGCCGGAGCCAGAGGAACAAGATGGGAAGAACAAGAGGACTGGAACCAGGATCCTGGGCTCTCCAGCCAGGCTCTGTCTCTATTTGGGGTAGTCCAGCTCCTGGAGCCTTGGGCATCTCTGCATAAGAATAGCACCCTTAAAAATAACTTACAGTTCTATTGTGCTGTTTTTGGGCGGGAGAGCAAATCATTCTCACATATTTAATCATTTCTATTTCCTGAGCTGTATGTGGATGGATTTTGAATAGTTGGTACATGTGAAGGACTTAGAGTAGTGGTTCTCAACCTGTGGGTCACGACCCTTTTATAGGTCAGATGACCCTTCACAGGGGTCACCTAAGACCATCGGAAAACATAAATATTTCACAGTATATAATTACATACTGTTTGGTGATTAATCCCTATGCTTTATGTTTAATTATCTTCAATTTATGACAATGAAATTACATCCTGCATATCAGATATTTACATGATGATTCATAACAGTAGCAAAATTACAGTTATGAAGTAGCAATGAAAATAACTTTATGGTTGGGGTCACCACAGCATGAGGAACTGTATGTATGGAAGGGCCACGGCATTAGGAAGGTTGAGAACAGCTGACTTAGAGTAAGCCCAGGCACATGGTGAATCTTCAGTAAATATTGCTTGCTTAGTATGAATACAAGCATTGGCCTGCTAAGCGTAAGGTGAGTGGTTCAAACCCAGCAGCTGCGCTGCAGGAGTGAGGCAGTCTGTTCCTGTGAAGCTGTGCTAAGCCCTGGAAACCCCGTCGGAGGTCGCCCCGAGTCAGAGTCAAGTGGGTGGCAGGGGTGGACTGATGATAAAACAGCCCTGTGCCGTGCCGTGCACATTCTGCCCGTGATCCCAGCCCCCGTAAAGCCTGTTACATCCAACATCCAAGGGACATGAAATGGTTCCTAATAAGAAACAGGTGCAATTTTGTGACATAATTTATTTAACATAATTATTATGTTAAAGTTGTACCAAAGTATATCAATGTGTTTCTTTAAAGTTTTTTACTACTAGAAAACTCATGCTGTTACAATAGGAGGTGTTAAGAAGTTAGTGGAAAACTGCATTATCTTTTCCTTCCATTTCTCCATACACTTTTGAAACCCCCTCATATACGATGACAAACATGACTGACACTAGAGACAAGCTGTTCCTAACTGGTCTGACACCCCTCATAAAGACAGATGGGCCTGGGGCTGATCTGTGTCCGGGGACTGCCCACACATAATATGGTGTTTGCACAGCATCAAGGTCACACCATGGCCCTCTTCACAGCACCTGTCGTGGACACTGGCGACGCAGGGCTGTATTGTTCGTAAGTCTTCGTTGTACACATTTCAGACGTTCCGTGATTTACCCAAGATCCTAGCATAGCTGACAGCTGCTGACAGCTGGGGCAGGGAGGGGCCTTGGGCTCTGACTTGAGTGCGAGGTCTTTGCACCACTCTGCTGCAGACTGGTGAAGCAGGCGGAGTGGGGTTTTCAAAGTCTCTGTTTGCTCCTTGCCTCCGCCTCACTCCTAAAACAGATGCTCAGCACATGTAGAGTTCCCCTTTGCCGCGTGACGAGGACGCCCAAGTGGGCTTGAACTTTTCTCCCCGTGAGTGAACCGCTTTGTGCTTCCTCCCGTCCAGGTATGCAAAGGCCCCCCGCAGCACGAGGAGGTCTGCCTGGGCCTCTTCACGCTTGTCCTCACTGAACCTGCCCAAGCCCAGAAGGTAAGCCTGCCGCCCGCCCTGCATCTGCGCCCCCTTCCCAGGGATGCTCCAGACACTGCAGTGACCCCGACAGGTGTCAGACTCTCACCGCCCTGAGTTGTCTGACCAGAGCTGGATCACCTTGTTCTCCAGACAGAGTTACAACCCCGTTTTGCCTCTCAGAGAATTTGGCCATTCTCTGACCAAAGGCCTAGATCATGAAGCCAAAAGGCGGGGAGCTGCGTGGAAAGAGTTTACTGTGTCGCTATATGAGGCAGGGCGAAAGGAGTTGGCATTTAACCCAGAGCAGAGCAGAGAACTCTAACGCAGGTCCGTAAGTTCTTACTCAGGACAGGGTGACCTGTTATGCTATTACTGGCAGGTGCCTATAAGAAGCCAGCTTAAAATTGCAGCAGGTAGAGTTAGGGTAGACAGCATAATGTAAGATTATGGGCGCAGCTCCCCTGCGGCGACTCAGGACCCTGGAGTTCGCTCAGAGCCAGTGAGGACTGGGAGGCATGAAAGCGAAGCTGGGCTTCTTCATAAGCAGGACAGTCTCCTTTATGGTTAAGTGGGCTCCTTCCTCAAGGTAAGGGATTAGTCAGGCTGATCTCTTTGGATTCTTTCTATAATAAACTAGTGAACTTTTGCCTGCTGCCTCTCCAGATTGACCCCTTGTGTGTCCTTTGAATCTTGGCGTGACAGTTGAAAGCAGCGGCTTTCATCCTGGGGGTCAAATGACCCTTTCACAGGGGTTTTCTGATTCATAGCAATAGCAAAATTACAGTTATGAAGCAGCAATGAAAATAATTCTATGGTTCAGGGTCACCACAACATGAGGAACTGTATTAAAGGGTCACGGCATTAGGAAGGTTGAAAACCACTGATTTAAAGGCATATGCCTGACCCCCCATTGTTGACTGTGTGGCACGGATATCGGGGGTTCTCATCGCTTCTCCCAGAACTAGCGGTAGAGAGAAGGGACCCTGTAATTAGCCCAGCAGTGTGACAGGCTCTCCTCGGTTAACCCTCTCAATAAATCCTAGGGGCCAGTTGGCTTTATTCCCTCCCTCAATCCAATCACGGTTTCCCTATGAGGCAACTGGAAGCCAGAGACGCTCAGTCATCTGCCCAAGGAGAACCGAAAGAAAATCATTCCCAGGGACAAGGATAGATGCCTTTGGGGACCTGGCATAGCTGCTTGGATCAACCTCCGGGGAAGGATTTATGGGCATGGGAACCTGATCTGTTGGACCCTTCTGTTGCCAGCTGAAGGCGGGCCTGGGGCGAAGGAGCAAGTAGTCACCAGTCTGGGCGGGAACACTGTCGAGTTAAATTTCACTTTCCTACTGAATTTATCATCAGGAACCCTGAAGATGAATGAGTCTCCCACTTGATGGTGGGAAGCAGTGCTCTGGTGCAGTCCAGCCCCCGAGAGGGACAGCGGTTGGGCTGAGGCCCTGGTTTCTCTTGCGTAGGTTTTTATAAATGCAATTAAAATCTCACATAATTACTTCTATGCAAAATAGCCTCACCTAATGGAAAGCTTATGTGTGTGTTTTTCGGTGGGACCTCCATTAGCTGGTACACCTCTGTGAAGCGGGTGGGGTGCTTGGTTTTTCTAGCTCTTTCCCTGACCTGACTGTGAGGGGTCGCAGCGCTGTCTGCATGGTGCGTGCTTGTTATGTCATGAATTCACCCCTCCAGACCCAGCAAGGTGGGTCCTGAGGGAACCCAGGGACCTGGGGAGGTGAGGCATCTTGCCTCAGGCCTCGCTGGTTGGCCATCCCCCAGGATCCGAGTTCTATCGCATCCCACAGGTTTCCCAGGAGATAGTGGGTAGAGATGGGGGCTCGTTCTTCGGGCAGTGAGGCACCCTCGGGGCTGCCTCATCCAAAGTAAGGCACAGTCCGTGTCTCTGTGGGCCGTATCTTCCCAGAGCTTCCATCCATCTCCGGTAGAGGCTGGTTGTCTGGTAAAATGCTGTCGCCCTGCGGAAGTTCTGGGTGGGAGCTCCTGGTGAAGACTGGTGCTGACGGCACTGCTTTAGGCCGCCCCTGAGAGCCAGAGGACTGTTTTAAAGGCCTTTGGGGGTTAACTTTATCTCTGGAACAAAGCCTTAGGATGGCTTTGGGATTCAGCCGTTCCCCAGGAAGCCTTCCAGGAGTTGGGGCCAGCTCTACGGAGCTTCCCCAGGAAGCCTTCCAGGAGTGGGGCCAGCTCTACGGGGCTCCGTAGACGGGGCGTTAGAGCGGCTTGCGTTAGAGCGGCTTGCCCCTGTGACCGAGAAAAGAACTCGGTGAAGAAGCCCGCCGGCATCTGTGGCATCAGCGCTGCGGTTTGTTCCATTCGGACCTTCCTGGCTTGCATCTGTCCTCTTAGGAGCTCTTAAAAGTGTTTATATTCCTCGAGTTTATTTATGTCTGGATGTCTGAACCGCCGAGCAGCTGCGAGCAGTCCCACTGAGGTGCTAGTATGTTGGGGAGGCTGAGCGGGAGACCTAGGCAGGCGCTGGCCGGCGGAGATAGGGGTGCTCGGAAAGGGTCTGGAGTTACTGCTCAGGTCTCTCTTCGTCCAGGCTCAGGGCCCCGGCCTTCCAGGCAACTCCAGAAAGAAAATGGGGCTCGAGGCTGTGGGCTGGAGCTCCCTTCTCCCACCAGGAGGGCAGGTGGTGGGTACCCCCAAGCTTCACCCTATTCTTCCATTCTGTTGAGACTCTGCATCTCTTCCCTGTCCCCACCACCGGCACTTCCAAGCCAGTCAGCAAGCTGGCAAAGGTTGGAGGAACAGCTGGCAGCCTGAGGACCAGGTGCTCTCGGAGCCAGCTGCCTGGTTCACCAGCAGTGTGGTGGAGACAGGCCCTGGAGGGAGCATGGCGTTGGGCAGGCAGTGTCTGTCTCCTGAGAGACTGCTCTCACTGCCCGTCCTGGGTCTGCTCGGCATTCGTGGGATTTCTGCTTTAAACAGACAGGGCTCCGCTCTGGCTTATGGTATCTCTGTTTCTGGCCCAACATGGATTTTCTTTTCCCCTGTGTAAACAGTGCAAGGGCCTTATCTGACCTCCTCTGGCTTCCCTAGTACCACAAGGCAGAGGTCAGACATCTTTCTTTACCTGTTCGGACACCATGGCTGTCTGCTTTATCTTGAGCTTGATATTTTGTTGTCATGGCCACCCAGAACTCAGCTCACACTCATACTTACAGACGTTTATTAAGGTTCTCACAAGTCAGGATCGGTCAACAGTAAGGATACACGCATTGGTCTGTCTCCGTCAGAAGCCAAGTCTCTCTCTGGTCCTCAGCCTCTCAGCCACACGGTCCCGTCGGCATCCGTCCACTTCCATGGGATGGGAAGCCTGTCGGTCACTCTGTCTCATAGCCCCATAGTTTCCTCACTGCTCTTCCTCTACTATGTCACATGGTCTCCTTGCCTCTGATCTTGCCCTGACTCCTTTGCCCTGTCCCATGGTCTCCATGCCACAGCCTTTAGTGCCTCTGGTCTCAGCCTCCACCGCTTCAGAGAGAGATTTCCAGATTCCAGCCAGCTCCACCAGTGGCTCTCCTCTCAGCGGTCCCAGGGGAGTGGCTTGGTGGAGATGTGGTGTCCCTCAGCTGGCCATACCCCCAAGGAAACCAAGCCAGGTGTCCCACGCTAGTAAGGTGGAGACTTGGATCATAGCCAGCCTTGAGCCCATCTATTAGCATGGCAGAGAACCCCTCCAGAGCAGGCATGAGGCTAGATGGGCTTGTTAAGTACTGGACTAGCTCTCCCTCTCTGCTTGTTCTCTGGCTGCCCTCTGAGCAAGGCTTCCAGGCTGAACGGACCACATCTGCCGAGCAGCACACCGACAGTAGGCTGCTGAGCCCCCGGTGTCTCCCTGGTCACCTTGTGCTTATTTTTGAAATCCCAGCCTTCACCCCAGATGGAGCCAGGGTAATCACCTCTTTTGGGTAAGAAACATATGTGACACTAATCAGATCTCTGCTGTGTTTCATTGGGTCATTTGGTTTGACTTGAGGACAATAGAAGCAGGAGGAAGTGACAGGAGCTGAACTCCTAGGTGCCCCTGGTCACCCCAAGTCCAAGGAGCAGCTGGCCTGGTGTGGCCCTTCTCTTCTGAATGCTTAGGATGAAAGGGTGTAGAAATGTGCCCTTCAAATCGCAGCCCCTTTCCTTTGCGTTATGTCGAATGCAGAGGTGGTTAGGGACGCGGGCCCTTTTTAGAAAGAAGCACATGGACTGCAGAGTTGCACTGCCTGGGTTTGAATCCTGGGTCTTCCGCTTACCTCCTAGAGACCAGAGTTGCATTACTTTAACCATTCTCGCTGCTTTGCTCATCTGAAAATGGTGAATGGTAGCTATCTCAAAGGGTTGGCATGTAGACTATCAAATGCAACAGTGTACAGTAATCAAGGCAGTTAGCAATGTTGTTGCCCTTAGTTCGGTCGGTTCCACTCTTGTTCCTAGCCTGGGGCGGAAGGCCTCCTGCCTCATTTGTGCCTTTTCTGATGAGAGCCTGACCCCGGAGAGCTCAGCAGGTGAGGGAGCTAGTGAGGTCCCCAAGGTAGTCAGCCCTTCAGGCGTCGGGCCTCAGGAGAGGGACAGGTGAGAGCAGCTCCGCTCCAGTGGGCAGCGAGGCAGTGGCCCCACGGAAGGCATCAGCCTGCCTCCCTCACCGCCCTTCTCAATACTTGGCGGAAGCAAAGGGCAGCCCAGGGAGAAGGAGAAAGACATTTAGTGTAGGACGTTTACTTTCATCCCTACCTTTAGTTGTGCCTAAGGTGTGTGGGTCCCTCCCTGCCCCTTCTTCTCGTGGTACCCCAGTCCACCCAGCCCTTGCCATGTCTGGATGGTCAGTACAGAGCTAGAGACCTCGGTGGGCCCCTCGCGGCCTGTCCACCTGGGGCCGTTCTGCAGTGACCTTTCCCTGGTTGATGAAGAGCAGATGGCTGCCACCTGGTTTTGCTCAGCTTGTAGCATCAAACAGGGCGATGAGGGGCAGGAGAGGACTAAGAGCCTGCTCAGCAGGCTTTCCTGCTCTGTGAGCGGGTAGCTCTGTCCCTTTTCTCTCCTCTGTGTGGCACAGGGAGGCAGAGGCTTGAGGTGGGAGAGCCCCTCCCTGTGGAGGAAAGCCACTCAGTGCAGCCATGCACTCCCTCGCTGCTGTGGGTTCCCTGTAGGGGCTCGGAGCAGAGGCCCTCTGTGGGGGTAGTCGGGAGCCTCGCCCTCAAACCTCACTTCTCACAGTGCTACCGGGACCTGGCTCTGGTGAGCCGTGATGGCATGAATATTGTCCTGAATAAAATCAACCAGATTCTCATGGAGAAGTACCTGAAGTTGCAGGATACCTGTCGGACTCAGGTAAGGCTGGGAAGAAGAGCGAACACCCAGCTCCCAGACATACAGAGGAGGGGTCCTGTGTCTGAGGGGGGCGGGAAGGGAAGGAGAGCGCAGGGCCTGCTCGCCCTGCCACCACACCTGAAGTGGTCTCAGCATTGAGCTAGCTGAGCAGCCCCTGCTCTCTCTGCCCCCGTCAGTTGGTGTGGTTGGTGCGGGAACTGGTGAAGAGTGGCGTGCTGGGAGCTGATGGTGTTTGCATGACTTTCATGAAGCAGATCGCAGGTGAGTTGCCGGCCCCAAAGGCCGAGTCCATCCGAGCCCCAGACCAAGCCTGGGTGAGTGCCCGAGAGGGCCTGAGTGCCCCTGGCTGACTACTGCCCCCTTGGCATTGACTTGGACATCTGGCCACAGAGGCTGCAGAAAGAAGTAGCTGGAAGTCACAGGGTTCTTTCAAAGCAGCAAGTCCTGTCTCGCTCACTTTCCTTCCTCCTCACCCAAGGCCTGACTCCAGATAGTTGCTCTGTTTCAACCAGTCCTTACCTGGGGTTCTGGGCCACACTGGATTAGGAAGAGGGGGAAGTGAAGGCAGATGATTGGTTCCAGTGTTCATTGTGCTGTCAACAACCCAGGCCTCTTCTCTGGCTCCACCCCCATGTTCTCAACGTTTGCTCTCTAAATATTATGACATCTGATTGGGGCCAGTCTGTGTCACAGAACAGACCCTGACATTTAGGTTTTATTGTCATCCTGGCATGGTTGACATCTGTCCGAGCCACTGAAGATCCCAGAGGCTGGCCTGTGCTGCCTCCTCCGCCCCCAGCACCGATCACCTGCCGCTCTCTTACCTTGGTGCTGGCTCTGCACCATGAGCTGTGGGCTACCCCCCTCCCCCATGTGTTTGACTGTTGCTGTGTGGACAGGGTGGGAGGGTGTTTAGCTGGGGCCTGGGGCAGCTAGACAGAGCACTGTTGGGCTGGCAGCTCTTACTCTCCCTCCCGCCACGGTCCTCCTTGCTTGGTCCTCCGGTCCACTGTCTCAAGGCCCGCTCTGGCTTTGCTACGTACTAACTCTGCCCCTGGAAGGTGGCGGCACTGGCAGGGCATCTCAGGTTGCTGCATGGCCCTCGTTGCCAGCCACCTGCCTGTCCCTCAGGCCCGAGTTCACATCTTTCCCTTCACGGCGGGTGGGGGGGGAGTGGGGGTGGGTGGGGGTGGGGGTAGGTTGTCCTCAGTTCCTTCCCAGACATGCCCTTTCAAGGGCCGACAGGTTCCCATTCCAACCCCAGTCTGTGGAAGAGAAAGTAGCACCTCCAGCCTTCGGGGAAATCCCTTCCCTTCCCTCCCACTCTCTGGGGGCGCCCGGGGAACTGGACAGCACCGGGCAGTTTGTGCCAGCACTCAGGGTCACCATGGTGGCCTGACTACTGCAACACTTCAGCAGGATGCTCCAAGAAATGGTCACTGCTCAGAACCATTCTGATATTCTTCCCCCCCCCCCTCCCTTGAAACCAGGTGGGGATGTTACAGCAAAAAACATCTGGTTGGCAGAGAGTGTCCTGGACATCCTGACGGAGCAGAGGTAGAGTCCCCTGAGGGGGGTGAGTGTGGAAAATGGGGGTGAAGGGGCTGTATGAAGACTGACAGGTAGCCCACAGACACCTCTAGTTGGAGGGGCAGGACGGGTGGGTGGGAAGTCCGAGTAGGGGCCAGAGAAGGAATTCATGCCATGCGGGAGTGGGAAAGAGAGCCTTTGCGCAAAGGTCCCAGAGCCCAGAGAAAGCTAGTTTCATCTGATAAGGGTTTATTTTTGATCCAGACCTCCTTGGAATGTTTGTCTTTGGGGGAGGGAGAGAATGAGCTCAGCAGCTTGGGGCCAGCCAACAGCCAGGCCTGGCAGGTACCCCTTTCTCCATCCTGACCCTCTCCATCAGACCTGCATGCCCTGAGGTGGCTGCAGGGAGCAGGAGGGCAGCGTGCGGGAAAGAGGTGATGGAGACCAATGAGCTCCCTCATGGCACAGGGGTAAAATACAAGTCCTCGGCTTCTAGCAGCAAGGTCAGTGGTTCGAGCCTAGAGCTACACAGGAGAGATGTGGCAGTGTGCTCCTGTAGAGAACATGGCCTTGGACACACTGGGGCTGGTCTGCTCTGTCCAAGAGGCTCAAGAGTCAGAATCAGCTCGACAGTGTGGGTGTGGTCAGGGTTTAGGGTTGGCATCTAGGCCTTGAGAGACCCCGGTGGTAGTATATACAATTGGGACACATTGGGCTTTCTGGAAGATTCTTTTCCCTTCCCCGTGAAGTACATCTTATGGGGCTGCTGCACACCCGAACTTTGGTTGGCGTGAGGCCTTCCCATCCTTGCAGTGCTCTGAGTTTTCCTGGTACTTTTCTTGGCTTCCGCTTCTGCTTCTGGGAAAGGAGACTGTTGTCACCCAGTGTCCACATCAGGACTAGAATCTCTGTAAGCCTGGGGCTCCTCCCTGCATTCAGACACTAGTAAAGGGCTGTGCCTCCCTGCGGTGCAGCGCCACCTGGTGTCGAGGGCAGAGTCTGCACCGCCACTGGTGCTGGAGGCACTGGAGGCACTTCGCCCAGCATCAGCGGCACACCTGTATGCCCCTGTGCGGGAGCCAGGGCCCAGCAATCTCTCCCTAGCTTCTGCTTAGCTGAGGTCTCTGGGCCTCTCCCATCTCACCCCTCCACTTCCTGACTGGCGGCCTTCCTAAGAGTGACTTGTTTCATCCTGCTTTGACCCTGTCCCCCCACAGCTGACTTTCTTGTGGCAGCCAGTGTACAAGGCCCAGAGAACTGTCCTCCCTGTCCGGTCCCCCGCTCCCCAATTGCATGGTACTGGCGGACTTGGGTCCCCTGTGCTTCCACCGTGCCTCTGGCAGCCAGCAGCAGGGGGGGCAGGAGGGCTCTCACTGCCCTTGACTTGTGGTTTCATTCTGTGTGCGGAAAAGGCCACAGCCTTTTAATTAGGTGGCTGGAGCACGTTTCCGGAATCAGGATGTTGCCTGGTTGGGTCATTAAATCCCCTGTCTTCCTCCTCTGGCTCCCTGCCTTTCTAGCTGGGAACCAAACCTGCACGGTCCACTGTGGCGCACAGGGGGAGCAGTGCTTTCCTCAGCATGGCCGCCCCAAAGCACAGCTCCTTCTCAGCATGTGACAGGTCGGGCTAGAGGGAGGCCCAGGGAAAGGGGTGTGGCGTGGAGGGCTGGCCCCGGACAGACATCCTGGCCGTCCCCAGGGGTCTCACACCAACGAGGGATGCTCACAAAACCTACCCCCCTTCGTCTGCACTGGGTCTGCACGGTGACTTCTCACACAGTGCTGGGTATACAGTAATGCTTCATTGAGCCGACCGGCAAACAGTTGTTGGAGCCGAGTCCTAAAGGTAAAAGGAGGCGGCTTGCACTCAGCACGTCCTTTGTTAAGCAGCTGCCTCCCCCCTTAGAAGGTTGAGGGCCCGTGGTGGGTCGTGATGGCCTGTGGGAGGGACCACGGCAGAACAGAGCCTGTCTCAGCCACTTGCCAGGGGGGCAACTGAGGCTGAGACCAGGGCCAGATGCTCGTGTCTCCCTCGCGCCAGGGAGTGGGTGCTGAAGAGCAGCATCCTCATCGCCATGACCGTGTACACGTACCTCCGCCTCATCGTGGACCACCATGGGACCGCCCCGCTGCAGGCCCTGCGGCAGAAGGAGGTGGATTTCTGCGTGTCTCTGCTTCGGGAGCGGGTGAGAGAGGCGTGGGGACGGGGACAGAGCTCCGTGTGGGAGCTGGGGGGGTGTTCACTGTCTCAAGGCCAGGGAGGGTCGAAGGGGAAGGCCTGCCCTTGTGTGCTCATGACCGTGTCATCTGCCCACCCGGGTAGTTGCCACGGCCAAGGGGGGTCATGGGTAGCCCAGGCCTAGGTCTCCCAATAGACCCGGAGCTGTGCTGTCCATTCAGCGGCTATTTTAGTGAAAACACATCTCCTTAGTTCTACAAGCCATGCTGGAAGGTCTGTCAGCCTCCCTGGCCCCCGGCGACATTGCCCAGCCCAGGTGCAGACTGGCCCTGTTGTCAGTGATCAGTGTGTCTGAAATCAGGGCTGCCAGGCCCTTCCTTTCGGACCCACAGTGGGTAGTGGGAATCTAGCTGGCTTCAGTGGCCCCCAGGAACCCCTTTCCCTTGCTTTCATTCCCCGCCTCAGGCCCTCTCTTCCCCTGAGCGTCATGGAGCCCATCCCTGGGTTCCCAAGAAAGCATACAGTCCCTTCGACCCTCTGTCCTTCCCTCCCGAGAACACGTTGTCCCTTTGCCCTCCCTCCACCAGGTAAACAAGCCATGTTTTTCTTCACCCCCCCCCCCCATCTAGTTCATGGAGTGTTTGATGATTGGCCGGGACCTCGTAAGACTGCTGCAGAATGTTGCTAGGATCCCGGAATTTGAACTGCTTTGGAAAGACATTATCCATAACCCTCAGGCTTTGAGTCCACAGTTCACAGGTGAGTAACGGCCAGGGCCACCTGTCCTTAAGAGGTAAGAGGCCAGTAGGTATGTCCAGCTTCAGTTGGGCGGGCAGAGTCCTCGGCCAGAGCCGGGCTGCGGGGCCAAGGTGGCCATGCGGTGTGGAGCCTTGCATTGGCTTCCCAGTGCTCCTAAGCAAGAAGGGGCGCAGAGGCTTGGGGCCCTCCCCTCCTAGCAGCTCCTTGGCTCAGAAGGTGAGTTGGTGGCCAGTTTCCAGTTGCCTGGAGTTCAGCAGGGAGGTCAGAGGTCAGTGCGTGAGACTGAGTCGGGGGGTGGGGGTGGGGGTGGCTGGACTTAGTCTTGGAAGAGGAAGCCCTGGAAGTAGAAGTCTGCCAATTCTATCAGTCCCGCCTGCTTGGCCACGCTCCTCTGTGGGAGGGAAGGCTTCTCTGTGCCTCTCCTTCAAGACTCCCCTCCCTCGTCCCTTGCCCACTCCTGCGGTAGCAGCCTGCTCCCACACATACGCATGCCTCCTGGCACCTCTCCTGTGCATGCATGCTACACACACAAACTGAAAGCACTGGTACTACCCTCTCTCATGGCCATTGAGTTGATGCCGACTCATAGCGATCCTTAGGACAGGGTAGAACGGCCCCTGGGAGCTTCCGAGATGGTAACTCTTCAAGGGACGAGAAAGCTCCGCTTGCCCTCCTCCGAGCTGCTGGTCTTTTCGAACTGCTGACCTTGCAGTTAGCAGCCCAGCACGTAACCACTACAACATCTAATTGATCCAGGTTTCACGGGGGTGGGAGGGGAAAAAAGAGCTTATACCAACGGCTCAAGCAGAAAATGTTTTGGGAATGAATGATGATGGCAACATATGTACAAATATGCTTGATACAATTGGCATATGGAATGTTATAAGAGCTGTAAGAGCCCCCAATAAAAGGATTTTTTTTTTTAAGAGCGAGTTTTAGAGTCTCAGGACATCCACTTTGTTCTTAGACTGGGGTAGATCAGGAACTTATAAGAAATGACACTAGAAATTATTCAAAATGAGGGAAAGAAAGACTTAGGAAAAATTGACAGCAATTAAGCATCCTGTAAGACAGCAGCAAGGAGTTCGATATATCTGTAATTGGTTGTCTAAGAAGACAAGGAAAGGGGGACAATATATGCACGTCTGAGGAAATAATAACCAAAATGCCTCCAATTTTAATGAAACAATATACCCACAGATCCAGGAAGCTCAAAGAACCCAGGCAGAAGAAACAAAGAAAACCACACCAAGACACATCCCCCACCCCCTGTAGCCCTTATATTGACGACATACTGAGTTGTTTCAGTGCCTACTGTGCGCCAGGCACATATATTGTAACTCCTTTAATATCCAGGCCAATTCTGGAACATGGGTCTTGCGTTGCACGTTTTACTGAAAAAGGAGACTGAGGTTCAAAGAGAGAAATTTTAAGTTTTCCAAGACCACACAGCTAGTGGGTTTCAGTTTGTCTGACTTGAAAACCTCTGCTTAGGCCACACCACACTGCACTTAGGCTCCCGGGGCCAGGGACAGGTTCCCCATACCCCCCACCCCCCCACCTTTTCCAGTTTTCCATCTGGGAAAACGTAAGTAGGTGGCTCTGGAAGGCTTGCAGAACAAGGGCATTTCGCTTGCTGGATTCAGAATTCCGGGAGCAGGACAAATAGATGCTGGTTACACCCCCCAGCTTGTAGCCAAGTGGCCTCCCTGGGTCCTCTGAGCAAGTCCACTGGCTGGCAGTAGCAGGCCCTCATGTGTCTCCTCCTCCTCCTCACTGGGCTCAGGTATCTTGCAGCTGCTTCAGTCGAGAACATCCCGAAAATTCCTAGCGTGCCGCCTCACCCCAGACATGGAGACGAAGCTCCTCTTCATGACGTCCCGGGTAAGCTGGCCGTGGGCAGGGGGTCAGGTCACGGCCTGCGGCTCTGGGCCCACGAGCCGGCTGTGGAGCCTGGGCTGCCAGGCGCCTGGCAGGGCTTGCCTGCTGGCTGCCTCGGGCCACACAGCAGGGTTGGCAGGGCGAGACGCAGCTCCATCCCGGGAGCTGTCAGTGGACAGCCGTCTCAGACGGTCACAGTGTGCTGACAACAGAAGAGATGCCGTGTGTCCTCTGGGGAGCCCGGGGACCCCGAAACCTCTCAGGGTCATAGCCTTTTAGCGTCTGCACCTGGTTGGATTCTAGCTGAACTCCTTAGAGGCCATGTTACAAATGCAGGTTCCGAGTTCCCCTCTCCAGAGAATCAGGTGGAGCCTGTGTTTGCTGGACTCCGCAGGTAGCTCCTCTACCTCCCCATCTTGGGCCACCCTACAGCGTCCCAAGCCAGGACGCACGGGGCCAGTGAATGAAGCAGGGGGGAGTCAGTCAGATGAAACTCGGCCCCTGTTGCAGTAGCTCCACAGCAGTCAGTGCGACTGGACAGTGTTGGTCTAGAGATGAAGGGGTTGAAGTTTAACCTCTGTCCGTTCTGCTTGGTTTCTTCTCACACATGGGGACAGGAAAGGAGACAGGCCCCCCTTGTGTCGAGTTGCTGTTGGTTACCATTTGGGGGAAGGACGGAGAAAGTGGAGGGTGGCCCAGTCCGCGCTGATGGTGGGTAGGCCTGGCTGGTGTCCTTGAGGCACGTCCTCTTGCTGTTCACCAGTGACTGCAGACAGCCAGGGAGGCTGTACTCCGACTGCGGGTCCAGGTGGGCTTCCTTGCACCAACCAGGTAGATGGTGGGCCCTGATGGACCCGGTGCACTGCGAGCATGTGAGGCAGCTGTGATCGTGAGATCAAAGGCCGTGAGTGGTTGAAAGCCAACCTGCTCTGTACACTTTCACCCAAACACGAAGTCACTGTTCACAAATACAGTAAAATTCACCTGAGCCCTGTGCCACGGTTGGAGCTAATGAAAAGTACCCACTTGCGCCCAGCTTGGTGTGCCTCCTCCGCCGCCGGGTCCCCACTCTCCTTCCAGGCTTCTCGTCTACCTCCCATCCCGCAGGTGCGCTTTGGTCAACAGAAGCGGTACCAAGACTGGTTCCAGCGCCAGTACCTGTCCACTCCAGACAGTCAGTCTCTGCGTTGCGACCTCATTCGCTACATCTGTGGGGTGGTCCACCCCTCTAATGAAGTGCTGAGCTCCGACATCTTGCCCCGGTGGGCCATCATTGGCTGGCTCCTGACCACCTGCACGGTGAGGAGCAGGGCCACGGTGGAAGGTGCTGGGTGGTGAGGGGCTGTCCCCGCACTCCCAGGCTGCTTCTCCGCCCACCCTCAGGAGCCTGTCAAAGACCTCCCTTCATCCGGAGTCCTCTTGATCGTCTTGGCCCCCCCGCCCCTGCTGCTGGGTCTGTAGAAGTTCACTGGGCTCAAAGTGCCCCAGCTGGGCTTGGATTGAGCAGATTGCCAGCGCTAAAGCCTGGGCTTCTGGAGCACTTCGTACTCCCAGAAGACACTTCCATTTCCCTTGGGGTGGCCCATTATCACACTCTGCATTTGGGTTGTTGAGCTGCTCCGGCCCTTTGGCCTCAGCTCAGGGTGCCTCCTCCCCACATGGGTCCCTCATGCAGCTGTTCCTCCAGGCCTCTCCCTCTGCCCCGCTGGGAACTCTCCCATCCAGCTGCCCCTGACCTCTTCCGACTCGGTTCTTCCTCCTCCCCCGGTAGCCTGGGCCTCGCAGTGTGCTGACCCATAGGACAGTGAAGGGGGTTCCCTTAGGAATGTGCCTGCAGAGCCCAGAGGGGCCCAGGCTGACCATGACTGCAGACCCCCGAGCCCAGACCTTCCCCTTAGGGATCCATGTGTGGATGACGATCCCAAGTTGACCCTGACTCCTGGGCTGGGGAGGCCACGGGTTCTCAGGCATGTGTGCAGCCCAGCTGTGGGTGCCCCTGCTCCCTGGGGGGCCGCTGAAGGGCGGCAGGCAGGTTGACCAACGAGCCCCTTTTGTCCTGTCTTCCAGTCAAACGTGGCAGCCTCTAATGCCAAGCTGGCTCTGTTCTACGACTGGCTGTTCTTTAGCCCAGACAAGGACAGCATCATGAACATAGGTGTGTGCTGGCTGGCAGGCCCGATGGAGGGGCTTCTGTGCACGCAGTTCCATATCCCCTTCTCCCTTTGCTTGAGCTTGGTGGGGAGGGCGGCGGGGAGATCTTAGGCAGAGGGAAAGCTGTACCACATCCTGTTTTTCCTCCCCGCTCCCACCCCAAGCTGAACACTAGGACATGAAGCACGATTAGGGGCTAGCAGAACTGCCTGGGGGGTGTCTGCTTCTGGGTCTGTTGGGTGGGATTTGGGAAAGGAGACAGCATTCCTCAGAACCATCTGTATAGAGTGGTGCCCTGTTTTGTGGGGTGGGGTGACTGACATGGGGGACCCCTCAACCTCACCTTCCGCAGAGCCGGCCATCCTGGTCATGCATCACTCCATGAAGCCGCACCCGGCCATCACGGCCACGCTCCTGGACTTCATGTGCCGCGTGAGTGCCAGAGCCACGCCAGGGTTCCCTCTGCCCCCGCCCTCCGCCATCTGGCAGGGCCCCCTGGACAAGTCTGTGCTCACCCCAGGTCCCCGTCTTCCCTTTCAGATCATCCCCAACTTCTACCCGCCGTTGGAGGGCCATGTGCGGCAGGGGGTTTTTTCCTCCCTCAACCACATTGTGGAGAAGCGGGTCTTGGCGTAAGAAATTTGTGGGGGGGGG